GACCTTCTGCAGCTCCCAGACTTGCATTCAGCTCTTACAGCAACAGCTTTGCTATGTGTTTCTCCACATGAATTCTCACTGTTAGCACACCGGACTGATAAAAGCAAGGAAGACAGCCCGTGAAACAGTTGACCTAGCTACTGATGTCAGCCCAGAAAGTAATTTAGAGTAAAAAAAACTCTGGAAGAATAGCACAACATCAGAAAAATCTCTTAACTGAGGGCAAATTACTACCGCCTACCCATGGCAACTTCAGGTATTCTCACCTCCTTGTTTGCATCTCTCCCATCTGTTTCCTCTATTTTTGCATGCCCACATCACAAGTACATGTTAATTTCTTTTCTCTCATCTGCCCTTTCCCTCTCTCTCAGTGCCTTGCAGATTTGCCATGGGCACAGAGAGTCTGCAGACACTCTCCTCTTCAATGGACAGACCCTAGAGGGAATTCAGGATAAGAAAGGAAATTAATTAGAAGTTTCACTCAGCCAGGAAGGGTTCAAGTGTACAACAGCCAGAGGCAAATCACTGTTTTGAGTGGGTTGTCAAAACATGCAAGTCAGTGTACCTGTTTATTCAGCATCTCCTTACTCTGCATCTGTCCCATTCCTCCAGGGATGCTACACCATAAATATTCACTAAGTATTCATTCTTTTTAGTAAATTGGATCTTTCTCAATTTTTTTTCCACCATCACTTCAACTACTGGATCAGATCATGCTCCAAATGTGTAGCAGAATTCTCACAAACAGAAAGGAAGACAGAAGCTCTTCTCAACAAACATCAGCATCTAACGCTTAAAAGGTACAGTGAGTGTCTGCAGCTATTCTGGTTTACTGTGCAAAGGCATGTAGGGCACCATCACCACCACAGTGCTCTGATGACGTGGCTGGAAATGGGATTAACAGCAGTGTGTGTGCCTCCCTCCCTTACACTCTGTCCCTTGACTGTAGCATTCTGACAGTCTGCTTTTGTGTGTGCTATCCTGGACTTAGACTTCTGAATGCAATGTAATGTAATCATACCACGTGATTGGATCAGAATGTTATTAGCTCTGTCCCTGCAATGTTGCTTTTGCCAGTCTGGTCAATTCATAGAATCATAGAATCATAGAATTGTCAGGGTTGGAAGGGGCCTTAAAGATCATCTAGTTCCACCACCCCTGCCATGGGCAGGATTCACACACAGGCTTTAAAAGGGAACAAAGCAGCAAATCGGTTGCAGACCACATGTGAACAGTATCACACACGGCTGAGAAGTTACATATTTTAGAAGAGTAACATTTTGTTATTTGCTTCTGAATGTAAGAAATATCAATAATTTTGTGCTTTTACTTTAAAGAAGTAGGACAATAATAGGAGCATTAAGACAACCATTAAGGATATAAAAAAATTTTATCACCTCAGCCTAAATGCTGACAAAGCCTCATAGGAAGAGTGGGATGGATCGTGAAGGGAGTGGGTATATGTTGTTGCTAATACAAGTTTGCTGTGCCAGCTCAAGTTTCTCAGTCTCTTTAGATGGTTTTTGCAGAGGCAATGAGGTGAAGTCGCATCCTGGATTGCAAAGCAAGGAATCTGGGATATCAGTTCTTAGCCATATAACTAGAAAGCTATATAACTAGAATTTAAACACTCTTTGAAGAGCTTACCAGAATACCTTTTCAAATATGAAGACAAGCTTCAAAAATAGACAAAGACAAGCTTCAAACAAACCAACAAATTCACTCTAATACAAGCTTCCACAAAAAGCATTTGAAGGTACTTCAAGTGTGATCCCATGACTGTTTAAGTTACTCCAAACGGTATAGCTACAGTAAACTGTGGATACACTTTACAGTTAGTTGTGCTGGCAGTACTGCATTGCAGAATTAAGACTTTCATCCTTGAGCTCTTTTCTAAACAAGCACATAACTCCTGCTTGCTAATTATGAAAAGAGACCCTGACCAGCTGAATATAGCTCATGTTGGGAGTTTGTCCGTGAGAATGAACAGATAAGAGGCTTCTTGTACACAAGATGTGCATGGGAGTGAATGGGAGAGTATGATCAAAGTAGACCTGGGAAAGTCTGTTCTTCCTGTGTGATAAGAGTGTGATTGGAGGAATACATGAGCTGGTAACAATCCTGGCTGCATAGTCTGGTCTCTTGTTTGTAACCCACAAATAGTGCTTCTTGCTAAGAAGTATAAATATGTGTGTCTGCCTGCAATAAAGCGAATTCCATTTTCCACCATCTCGGAGTTTGTGCGTGCTTCTCCACAGTAAACATGTCTGGTATTTTATTGAGCCAGCACTGAGACTTTAATCACCAGAAAGCTAACCCGAAGAATAGCTTTGTGTGGGATCAGATCCTGGAAATGGACCACCATGGGATGAGCTGAATGACAAGAGTTTTAAGAAGTAGGGTACAGGAAGAGACAGCACTGGAAGGTGACAGCAGCAACAAGAATGGTTTTAAACACATCAAGGAATCAGAGCCAAAATTAATTGGGCCAAATGGACAGAAACCCGAACTGCTGCTCTGCCGCTAGAGTAAAAAGAAGGAATTTTCCTTCTGTGCCCAGAAGACTTAAAAAATGCTTGCTAGCTTTAACAGCTGTAATTGTGTGGAAGGTTTACATTTTCTTCCAAGACTAAGTCCTAATTTCAAAGCAGATCAAGATCCCTCATACATAAACCAAACATAAATCCTGATTTCTTAGCCTGGCATCAGTCAGAAGGAGCCAGGTCTACTCAGTCTAGCCCTACATAAAATTCACATGGAGAACCATCTTCCCAGAGTCCCTGCAAAAAGTAAAGATTTTATTTTTTCTCAAGAATCATGCCCTAAAGAAATCCCTGCAGTAGCATCCTTCAATCTGAGTCAAAAGTGTTTAATGGCAATCCTCAAAAAGAACAATACAAAAATGAGGAGGATCTATATACACCAAAATGAGGATTTTTCCTGGTGATAGTTTGTCTCATAAACCATGTCAGGCATGGTGAATGCAAAGGCCTGAAGATAAGCAAAAAAAAAAAAAAACCCCTCTGAAATGCATCCTTGTAGTTTTCAGGTAGGCTTGTGGGTAGACCAAGAACTAACCCACAGAAAGCAGTCACTGAAGAAAAAATCTGAGTTAAGAAACAGATGTGTACAAAGAAGCTTGTTAAAACAAATACGGAAAACATGCAGCACATACAAATCACTGGAAGCCTTTGGTAAGTTCCTCTGAAGACCAAGGATAATCAGAATTTAATACAGAATGGCAAGTGGACTATAAATACCTTCCCTTCTTTCATGTATATTCTATAGCCTAGGGCATTGTAGGCAGATGTGGATGTGAAATGCAATTCCTATTCCTCATCAAGTTTGAACAAATATCAGAAATAAAAATTTATCAACCAGCTGTCATTTTTTGCCATCATATCCATCAGCTGTTAACCTTGGGAGTGGCACCTTTCCCCACAAGGAAAGTAGGACTTTCTCCACCTTGGTGTACTGCTGCAGGGAATACTGTATATAACTAGTGTAAAAATATGAGTCTTACTTAAGAAAATATTTATTTAAGAGACTTTGCTGTCACATCAACAGATGTCAGATCCTCCCTAAACTGTGAGTTGACTTTAAGGTGTACTGCATCAGATACCAAGCTCTCCTTCATTCAATTTGAAAGTCAGAATTAATATAGTAATCTGTTTCTTTCTCTCACCATTGTTGGGACATCTTGTGATTGCTGCTAATATAAAACATGCTCCTTCCTATTACCTTGATCTCTCCCTGCCTGGCTTTTTCTGATTTACACACAGACTGGATGTGTACTAGACACGTTCACAGTAATTAGTACACGAGGTGCCCTGATAGGATTCCGAATCTCACCAGACACAAATAATCCATCCACAAGTATCATGTGTAATGCTCCATTTTAAGTTGATATTTCTCTGACATATAAACCTCATGTTTACTTTCTAGTAAAATTTCCACATCTGATTAATATTTGTCTAATACACATGCTATAACCAAGAATGTTCTTTGAGGCTATCTCTCATTGTTCTTTCTCAACTGGAATAAAAAAATAAGTGCAATATATTTAAGAGACACTAGAGGGAATCAAATACCTCTCAACAACTCTGTCTAATAATAAGACTTGCAGTAAGTTAAAAACAAAAAATCCTTAACATGATGTAGAAAATACCAGTTATACTTTCTGTATGTAAACATGCCAAACAAATTATTAATTTACAGCATGGCTTTGCTGTTTCTTTTTCACTGGCACTCTGCATGCTCTTAGGCTCCAGGCTGCTCCCTCTAGGCATTCCCTTGGTGATGCTGAGAACCTGGGAACTTTCACAGTTGTAACACTTGACAGTAATCTCATGAAACATTCAGACAGTACGATAACTTGCTGATATACAGTGTAAATATGGCTGGTGAATATGTTCGTGTGTTTTCTTCCATATTTGCTCTTTGTTACACAGTTGCATTGGTAATTTCTAGTCCGGACATCACTTTTGTTGTTATATTTTTCAGGATCCCTCACACTAGTGAAGTTAGCAGGATGTCCAGTTCATTTCCTCTGTGTATTTCTTTACCAGCATTACATAAAGAACTCACTTTCACCCAGAGCACAGAAGTAAGTCAGATGCAAATACGGTCAGAAAAACTGGTTTATATTCCTGCTCTGAGTGGAACTGATCAGGCACAGGGCTGCTTCTGGGAACTTCAAAAAGCTCTGGTCATGTGACTGACTTTCCCTTAAATTCCCCTTTCCCCTCTCCCAACTTCTTATTCTACTGCCCACATTTGCTCCCGAACAAACAGTTGCTTACCCTTTGACACTGTTCCCAGTTTTGCTGACTTTATATCCTCGTTTGGTTTTTATGATACAGGTGCCCTCATACCTTGTACCCTGGCCATCAATTCTGTTAAATCAGTACCACTTTATTTTGCCCACAAAGTGCTGCTGTTTCTCATCTTGCTGTCTTTTTGGAAGCAGTGGAAATCAGGGTTAAGCATCTGCACATATGCCTTAACACATCTCTTTATCTTCACTCTCCAAGCAAATGGGGTAACAAAAAACAACAAAACCAAGAAACATTTGATATACAAAATAAGCTGATGGTCGGTAATACAATGCCAAAAATAGCTTATTATGTTAAGTGCAAGGGAGAAAAGCCTTGATATAAAGCTTGATTGCAACAACATTTCAATTTACCAGTTTAAATACAAGACTTGCATTAAAATATTTCTTGAAATACATCTCCTGCTCTCTAAGGTGATTTTTTAAAAATTTATACACACGTATCCAGTTGTAACACTTGACAGTAGTCTCATGAAGCATTCAAAGAGTATAATTTGATAAGTACACACTGCAGATACGAGTGGTTAATGTCTATATGATTTCTTCCTTCAAGGGTTTATAACATTATGTTGAGTACTAGCCTCAAACAGGTGACCAGCCACCTGATACAGTACAATACCCACAAGCCCTTCCCCCAAGTCCCACAGTCTATGCTTCCAGTGTTCACTGGATCCAGATGGTGTTGCCTCTTTCTGGTCTGCGAGACTCCACTGTCAGTTCTCCAAAAGTGGAGAAAAACTGCTCCATTTCCTTCTGCAACATATCATTCCTCTTCTCTGCGTCTTCCTTGGCCCGTTCTGCATTACGCATTTTGATTTCTACCATTGTGAATTTCTTCCGCTCTTGATCCAGTTCTTCATGCAGGGCCATCATTTCCGTCTCCAGAGTGAGATTTCTCTGCTCCAAGCTACAAAAATGAATAAAAACAGACAGCTCCTGAGTAGCACTCTTCACTCAGTCAAGCAGAAGTGCACACCACCAACAAATTCATACATGTGTCTTTTCATTTACAAGCTTAGACTGGATTTTAGAGAGGTGTTTCTACAAACCATGGCTTCATCAGTGAACCGTTCCCATAGGGGAATCTTTTCAGTAGCTCATTTAGAAAATGTCTAATAACAACCACCAGCAGGATAAACAGTAGCAAACAGTTCCATCTAATTCTGCAGGAACAGGCTAAGTATTCCTTTCACTTCTGGAAGTGCTGACACTCAGCTCCCATTGTAGTTGCACTGGTATCACTTACAAGGTCAGAATAATGCCCTGAATGCCTTTGTTTCAGTGCTAATATCTTTTCTCCAGCTGACTACTGACAATTAAAAAAACCCCCACAACATACAATCAACATGGTTTTTGTCTAAAAAACTGACCCTATTTCAGATCTAGCTTTCCAATGGAAAGCATTAGAAATCCTAGTGGCACTAAATACACCATGTATATTAAACATTATAAGAAGTGCTCTACTACATGCATACTACACTGAAAATAGTGACGTGGGGGAAAGTCTGTAATATTCTGTACACTGCACTTTCACTTGGAAGCTGCTGTTGCCAGTAGCTCTCACATGTTGTGATCCAGCTACAACTGGTCCAAAGGTACCAATACCAACAGCAGCTGTGCAACAGAGATAAGAAGACAAGTCCTGAAGAGCTTTACTATAGAACTTTAATACAAAGAGAGTGCATTCAGCTCTGCACTGTTGTGTGCACTAGAATCATAAAATCACAGAATGTTTTCAGTTGGAAGGAGCCTTAAAGATCACGTAGTTCCAATCCCCTGCCATGGGTAAGGACACCTTCCACTAGATGAGGTTGCCCCATTCAACCTGACCTTGAACACCTCCAGGGAAAAAGCTTCCATAACTTCTAGTTATGCTAAGCCCAGACTTTGAGGTTATTCACTGATCATTATGGGTATCCATCCTAGCAACCTCGTGAGAAAAGTCCACACTACCTGTAGTCAAAGAAACAGCTCTCCCTTGCCTTCTTTAACATGTCCAAGCTTTGAAGGAAAGACTCAGGCAAAGCAGGAGCCTGGAGATAGAGCAGAAGTAGCTCCCAGACGCAGCACTGTCTCAAGAGGAACAAGTACTCTGGAAAGGAGTTCCAACTGTCTCCCAGCCCCAAAACCTACAGGTGGAACAAGCCACAGCACTGCTTTCACTGAAAGGTGATGCCCAACTGCCCTTCTCAGTCTCTGAAGAACATGTATCAACTAATAAAATACAGTGTGAGAGCCTACTGAATTTTGTTAATTACATCCTACAGAAACTCACAAGGCTCTGGTTTTACTTTTTATGCCAATAGGATAGTGTGTCACACCCATGGCAAGCGATTGCTCCAAAAGAAACCGCTTTGTAAGAACGTATCACAAAAGCAACATCACAGTATGTCAACACTAAGAGATGGGAAAATCAGTGGCACCCAGTGACTGCAGCTAGTGTAAACTGCTAGGAAGTCCCAAGAGGGAGAACTTCTTGGATTTACTCTGCAAAAGGCAGTCAGATGGTAGAGTCAAACTGTCTTACCTTTTTATCCTTGTCTCATACTCTAGTTTTTGCTTGGCCATCTCTTGCTTCAAGCTGGACACCAGGCTGTGCAAAGCACTGTGATTGTTGGTACTGTTGGCCACAAATGTTTCACTGTTATCGCTGCTGCTTGTGGCTTGGCTGCTGTGGGCCCCCACACTCCTTCTGTCATTTTTGTGCTCATAGTCACCTGGATTAGAAAGTTCTTCGTGTGGTGGTCCATCCAGCACAGAGTCTTCGAAGTTACCCGCATAGAAGTCCTGCTCAGGGCAGGTGGTGGTGGATGAACGACAGGAGTTGGAGTGCTCAGGGAGAGATATTTCACAGGAGGACGTTGACCAGGTGGCACTGTCCACACTCTGTTTGTCATCAGAGTTCACCATAGTGAACTGCTGGTGGACATTGTCATAGGTGGAAAGCCTGTTGTGCTGGCCTGACTCGCTCACTGATTCCTTCTGTTTGTTGTCCCTCAGAGTGACGTAGCCATTGGGCACCCAGCCCGGGGTCCGGCTGTTGAGGGTGTTGCTGTGCCCGTCTGCACTGGAAACACCCATCCGTACACCTCCATTCTGCACGCTGTGTGTGCCCATCTTAGTCACCGGGCCTTTCAGGGATGACGTCCTCCTGGTTTGCAGGGCACAGGTTGGTAAGGTCTGGCTCTTCTCAGGGCCCTCTGCAGAGCTGCTGAAGGACCCATTGGTGACTATGCCACTGCCTTTATTAAAAGCAGGATTTTTTTTCACCATGAGTGGTGGACTTCTTGTGACATCCAGTTTCTGGATGCTGTTCCTGGGGCTATTTGTCTTGCTGCCTGGCAAAGCAGGTGGAGACTTATTGTCCACGCTTTCTCTTTGGGGAGACTCAGGTTTGTCCCAAGAGCAGCGCCTCACTGCTGTCTCCTTGGTGTTGTTATTCTCTTTGTTCTGTAGCTGCCCTGCAATAGCTTTCTTTGGCATTTCATTGTTGTTGTTGCATACCTCAGGTCCCATCTGAGGGTCTGCATCCCTGGGAAACAACTCTTCATGTTTGCTAATCATCACTGACATTAGCTGTTGGACTACTACTGTACCTGAAAGGAGACATCAAACACATGGTCATTAATGGCCTGTTCTGTTTAGGGCATAAATATACTTTATCCAAGAGATTCCACAAAACCTTAGTAAACATTCAGCTTATAGAAACATTTATGCAATGCATCCATCTGTGTAACATCCTGAACGCTTAACACACCTGAAGTTCCTCTGGCTACCCAGGCCAGATGAGCACCACCTCTTGCTTCCATCATGCCAAGCCAGTACGCCTCACAGATACCATAAGAACAGGATCTTCTCTTAAGAAGCTGTTACTGTGACACTAACTGTATCCCAGGAAGACCACAGATGGAGATGAGTAGCAAAGGTTAAGATCACTGTAAGTGACGTGTTTCAGCTCAATGCGGCCATCATTTTTAAAACTTAAGTCTCATGTTGGCACAACACGTATATTTAGTAGTTCAGTAGAAAATGGGCAGGTAAGGCATCTGCATTGGTGGAACATGGATATTTTAGTCTTCTGGAGCAAAATAGAGCAGTAATATGATGGAATTAATTTGACTGCCTTTAATCACTCTGTAGTGAGGCTATAACCAGGAAACTACGCCACGTTATAGCACAGTATGGAACTAATGCAGGACCACAGTCTGCTACTTGCTGCAATAAATGGCTACATTTCCTCTTAAAGAACAACCCTTTGGTGTACATGCCACATGACTGCCATTTACACACTCACATTTATAACTGGACTTGGCATAATAAAGATATGCAACTCTACTTCATTAAGCATGCGCAGGGAC